AATTCGTCGACAGTAGGATTTGAACCCCAGACCTCTTGCATGGCGGTCTGGCAACCTAACCACTACACTAAGATCACTAGACTACTTCATCATCATTTTAAAGAGTACCAAAGGAATAAGAATAAAGAAAAAAATCTTGAACTCATCTCAAACACATTAGATAGAAAAACTATATCAACTCCTTTTTCTTTAACCCAAGAAATGTGTATAGACGAATATCCTAAAAACTCTTCTACTAAAAAGCAACAGGATATATTCAGAACTAGTGAAAGTAACAATACTCAAGCTAGTGTATCCAAAAGAACAGAGGGTATAACTATAACTACAAAAAATACAAATATAAAGAAAGATTCAAAAACTCAGGAAATTAGTTTGACAAATGCTATCGCTTCTGACAAGAAAATAGCACAAGAAGTAAATTCTCCTATGGTTATTATTGATAACAATAATCATGAACTGCAAGAACTTGACTGTTCAGAAGAAGAATACATAATTGTTACAAACAAAAGAAAAAAAGACAAAAAGAAAGTATCTGTACAAAATCAAGAAGAGACTAGAACTGCTCCTTACAAGAAAAAAACTCGTAATGAGAGCCAAAATATGCAGATCTAAAATTCTTACCTTAACTCAACTCTTATGCTTAAAAAATCAAAGATAAAAATTAGCACCTTAAATGTCAAAGGACTAAACAATCAACAGAAACAAAGAAATACTCTTACCCTTCTTAAGTCTTATAATCTTGATATTATAATGCTTTAAGAGACGAACCTTAACAACAAAGATACACAAACATTTTTACAACAACAATGGGTTTTCAATTCATTATAGTCAAACAAAACAGCTATATTAGCAGGCAACAAAAATATAACTTTTCAGAGTTCCAAAATAGAAGCAAATAGCAGAATTATAACTACAAATTTTAGCTATAAAGACTTAACCTTCTAGCTCACAAACATCTATGTATCTTCTAGTCAAAGTGAACGATCAATTTTCTTTAACAATTGGTCTCCTCAAGTAAAAGACAATATAATAAACATCATTGCAGAAGACTTTAATACTAATATATATTCCGAACGAGATAGAATTAGTAAGTCCTCACTACAGAATAATCCAACAAGAGCTCAACTTAAAGACCTCACAAAAAACTTTATTGACTCTTCAGAGCTTGCAACCAACAAACTATTCTATACTTTTTTTCAAAAAACAAGAGGAAATAGAATTATGGCAACTCACTTAGACTATATCTTTATAGATGAAAAATATTCTTACTCGATTCATAAAACTAATACCAAATATGGCAACTCTGATCACCTTCTAGTAGAATGCATGCTAAAGTTTACATCAAATACAAATAAGTCATCTTTGTGGAAGTTTGATAAAAATTGCTTTCATAATAAGAGACTAAAAAAAGAAATAATAGAAGAAATACAAGAAAATGAAAACACGAATAATTAGAACTTATGCAAAATATACATCTAATCGATTATTAAAGCTTTCAAAAAACCAAAACCTTCAGAAAGCAAAATATTGACACTTAACAAACAAATTACTTAGATAAACAAAAAACTTGCTGAAAACTCTACAAATATATATCTTTCTACTTAAGCAGACCACCTTGACTCCAAACTGCAAGAAGAACTCACTCTTCTAGCAGAAAAATGGCAACTCCACTCTAAAACAAAATGAATAGAGCAAGGAGAAAAATCAACCAAATACTTCTTCTCAAAATATAAATCTAGGAAATCTCACTCAGCTCTTAGTGAAGTTAAGGATCCTTTGATTTCAGCTCAGAACAAAGATAATACTCTTTCTTATATAAGAGAAAAATATTCAAAAATCTACAGAAAAGAAGAGATTAATTTAGCTGCCACGAACGAAATTATTAAAGAAACTTTACAAGTTACAGAGATACAAAACTTTTCACTAATACAAGAAATCTCGCTTGAGGAAATAAGAATTATGATTAGAAGCCTATCGAATAATAAATCACCTGGTTCTGATAGTCTTACCTATGAATTCTATAAACTCACAGAGGAAGTGATCACTCCTTTATTATATAATCTCTTTAATCAAGTACTACACTCAGATCTTCTACCTAAATCTTGGTGTAAAAATCTAATCATACTTATTCTAAAGAAATCTTCAGATCTGGAAAATCTAAACAACTGGAGACTAATTTCTTTAGTAAACAGTGATACTAAAATCTTTATGAAAATCTTAGCAAACAGACTAAATATAATATGCCAAGAAATAATCTCTCCACAGCAACAAGGTTTTGTTAGGAACAAATCAATATCAGATACTGCAATAGATATCATAACAACTCTAAGAAGTCAACAAGACAACACTAAGCAATATTAGATACTTTTCTTGGATTAACAGAAAGCATTCGATCATATAAGTCACAAGTTTCTAGAACTTGTTCTAGAAAAAATGAACTTTGACAGAAAGTTTATTTCTTTAGTTAAAAACCTTTTTACAAACCAAGAAGCCCATATCCTTGAAACAGGAGAACTGTCTAAAGCTTTTAGAATAGTGAAAGAAATAAGACAAAGAGACCTTCTTTTACCTCTTTTATATATACTTGCTTTCGAACCTTTGCTACTAAACTTAAAAAACAATCTACAAGGCATTAAGCTAGAACATCAGTCCTTTAAACTTATAGCCTATGCAGATGATCTCACAATAGGAATAAGCTTTCTTTTAGACTAGGAATATACTTTCAAACTTCTAGAAACTTACGAATAGGCTTCTAATGCAAGAATCAACAAAACCAAAACAAAACTGTCTCCTCTCATATCAACAGCATTCAAAGTAGAATTACTACAGTCAAATGAACTCTATATAGTTAAGGAGAATGAACTCATCACAATACTGGGTTATAGTATTTACTCTAATGGACTTCTCAAAAAGGATCTCTGGAAATCTACTATAAGCAATCTCAAAACCTTACTAGATAAACTTGCAAACAGAAATTTATCTTTTAAAGAGAAAATTCTGCTTGCCAAATCACTTATATTCTCTAAAATTTGGTACACAGCTTATCTTCTCCTGCTAAATAGAAAGCAAGTATCTGAGATAAACAGACTAACCTTCTTATGGATTAAGAGTAATTCTTGTATACTTCTAAGATACTCAGTCTTTCAACAATCATACAAGCAACTTGGTCTACAAGCTCCTGTAATCAAAGATATACTAGATACAAGACTAATAACAGTTTGGTTTAAGCTACTCTCATCTGAGCACTTTTGGGCAAAATACGAAAGAGACAAAATTAGATTAACTCTTAGAGATAAAAGAGATATTTCACTATTACAAGCACTAACAGCTGATAATATTCGATCTAAAGCCTGGTCTACAGAGTAGAAACCCTATCTTCTGGTCTGGAAAAGAGCAGAAAGCAAAATCCTAGCTAATACAAACTGGTCTTGGAACAAAGAAGAAATTATATTAAGTAATTTTAAAAGATATAAAATTACAGTAAACAAGGTTTTACAAATACTCTGAAAGACAGAGCCTATTCTTCTTCAAGAACATACAACACCAGACCTGCTAACAACAAACTGGCTATCTACAAAATCAATTATAAACAAGAAAAAAGACGTATACTAGCACCTCTTTCATAGGTCTCTTCCCCTTGGTTATAGGCTCAAATACATAGAATCACCGGAAGCTGAGTTTTGCCTCTGATATACTGAAAAACCTCAAACTCCAGAATATTTTGCAATAGACTGTAGCTTGAGTGAAAAAATCCGAGAAATAGTATACAGATTTCTCAACATTAATAATTTAATTAATTATCCTTTGTCTCTCAAAGAAATGTTCTCCGAATCAAGTACTCAGAATTCTTCTCAAAAACAAGTATTGAACTGGCTTCACATCATAACAATCTATGAACTTTGGTGCTGTTATGCTTCACTTAAATAGGGCAACAATACTCTTCCTATCTCTACACTCTTAATAATTATTAAAAATCGAGTGTTTAAAGAAATTTATAGTCTTCACAAAATATACAAAACAAATAGATTGTTAGAAAAAAAAACTTTATGTAAATATTTAAAATATTCATTATAAGTTATTAATTGTAAATAAAGAGCACCAACTGCATCCCTAGCTTTATAAAGCTCGGGTCATAAAAAAAAAAAAAAAAAAAAAAAAATAGAGTATCTATAGGCAAATACTAGATATAGCAATCAGTAGATAACTTATATAGCAGAACTTTTAAATAGACAATAACTAAAGTTGTATATATAGCTAATTGTACTCTTATTAACAAATATATCTTGAAAACAAAACGAACTCTTCCCATAGATCATTTTGACTATTTTCGGAGCTAAGGAAAAACTCAAATTTACTCAAGAATATCAATAATAAACAGCCTAATAGTCACTAAGAAAAGAGAAAGAAGGCCCTAAAATATAGATACTTTAATAGAAAGAATAAGAAAGACATCAGAAACCAAAGAACTTTAGAAGGTGTTACTGTTGAAAACCACTACGAAAAACCTTTTTTTTCAAAAAACTAGAGGATTTGGTCTTACCCTGAAACGCAGATCCATTTACATAACACAAATACGTGGAAAGCAAGAAAACAAACAAACGTGTCAACAAATATTAACAAGATGTGCCACGTAACAACCAATAGAAAAGCAGCGTGCAAGTCTAAAGCCGAAAAATTCACAGGCAAGAAGGAAAAGTTATAGGGAATTTAGAAAAAAGTACAAGGTCTTAAAGTTAAGATAGCACAAAGATAATAGAGTAACAGGTAACAATAAAAAAGAGATATGGAATACAGAGAGCTCAAGATATTTTATCAAGAAGATTACTAAAGAGTATGGTCGAGAAATTATTCAAGAAGGCAGTGCATCGGTACTAGAACTTGTAGACCACTTCGATGAAATGGTCGCAAAGGCAATGAATGTCAAGAAAGAATTAATTACTTTGGCAAGGCAGTGGCGTATTGCATTAGAAAGAGCTGCTTTCACAGAAGGAGTAGACAAAGTTAAAGAAGTCCTAGAAAGAGAACAAGAAGCAACAACTACTCAACAAGAGAACATAAAAGAGGTAGTAGAGGAGATAGAAATGAGAATCGAGGAAGAGCGGGTAACAGAAAAAAAAAAGTTACAGAGGTTAAAACAGTTGAGCCTACAAGACAAGAAATACAGCACCAAGAAACAGCAGATAGCACTACTAAAAAAGAAGAAAGAAATAAAGTGCCAGAAGGTATGGAAGATGTCCAACTCATAGAAAATATCATAGAAATTTTCCCTTGCAAGAACGAAA